AAGTCATGAACCTATATGGGTTATCTGTGACGCATCGGTATCAGGCGTTGGAGCCGTATACGGTCAGGGACCGGATTGGCGGACGTGTCGCCCTGCTGGATTTATGTCAAAGAAGTTCACTTCGGCTCAACAGGCATATCGGACATTCGAACATGAGACCATTGCTATATTGGAAGCTCTATTGAAATGGGAAGACAAATTGATTGGTCGCCCTATAACCATAGTGACTGATCACAAAGCCCTTGAATTCTTCAAGTCTCAGAAGCAACTATCTCATCGACAGACTAGATGGATGGAGTACTTAAGTCGATTCGACTACACTATCCATTATGTTAAGGGCAAATCAAACAAAGTGGCTGACTGCTTTTCGCGTTACTATGAAAGCGATAATGTCGATGATTTGCAACCTGAGGATGAATATGTCGCTGCAGACAGGCATCTTGATCCGAATGGAGAAGATTTGCCTCCCATTCGGCTTAAAAAACTTAGAGCTGCCACTGTTGGTCCTGAGTTAACAGGAGCCCCATTGCCGAGACGATCACAGTGTCTTAGAGACTTAGTGACTCAGGAATCTCGACGCAAGGAGGCTGCGGAGATGGCTCAATCTGTAGTCACTAAGGTCAAGCCGCCAAAGGAATCTAAGGTACCTTCTGATGATGCACGCGCCAATGACGACGATGACGACCCAACTATCGCCAACTCAATAGCGAGTCGTAAATCACCTCACGAGGTGATCGAAGGTGATCGTCGCATAATGACAGCTATTTCACAAGGATATGCTGAGGATGAATTTTTCTCGAAATTGAATAAGGATACTGCCCAAAAGGCATTCATATTCAAGAACGGGTACATATGGCGCAAACTGCCCGACTCTACGTTCTCGCTATGTATCCCTCGCGTCAAATTTGAGAAGCATCGTATCAATGAAATCGTGCTAGACCAATGTCATAAGACAATCGGACACTTAGGCGCTGCTCGAACATTCGCATACGTATGTCGTTGGTACTGGTGGCCCAAGATGGGAGACCAAGTGGAACGATACTGTGCATCGTGTGGTACTTGTCAGACCACGAAGGACTCACCTAAGCGACCCATGGGACTACTACATTCCATGCCGATACCTACTCGTCCATGGGGATCAATCGGTATGGACTTCGTTGGACCTTTCCCGCCGGTTGAAGGATATGATTACCTATGGGTCGTGATATGCCAACTAACATCCATGATACATCTGATTCCTACGAGGACCACTGCCAAAGCATCGGACGTAGCTTGGCTATATTATGACCGTATAGTTCGGCTTCACGGGATGCCTGATACTATCGTATCAGATTGCGACTCTAAATTCACAGTGAAGTTCTGGCGGGAATTGCATAAGCTCCTAGGCACTGGGTTATTAATGTCTACGGCATTCCACCCTCAAACCGACGGAGCTTCCGAATGATCTATACGAACGGTGTCCCAGATCTTACGCGCGTTAGTTAATGCGAGCCAAACTGACTGGGTTGACAAAATCCCCATGGTTGAATTCGCAATCAATTCTAGTATCAGCAAGAGCACGGGATACGCCCCATTTGAATTGAACTATGGAACTATGCCGCGTATTGCCACCACATTGGACCCTGAGCCTGTCATGCCAGGCGTTCGACAATTCGCCGAACGCGCACTGTTGAACTTAGCGCATGTGCACGATGCAATCATTGAGAGTCGTGTTATTCAATCTCAATACGCCAATCAACGACGTCGACCTGATGAGGCAATTACCCCAGGCGATCTAGTGTATTTGTCCACGGAGAATCTTAATTTACCTAAGGGTCGGGCTCGGAAGTTGATGCCCCAATTCATTGGTCCTTATGAAGTTGAGGAGAGCGACCCCGCTAAGTCTACCTACAAACTTAAATTACCGCCCGAACTGGCGAAGAGACGTATTCACCCTACGTTTCATGTGAGCAGGCTTAGGCGACATGAAGGGAACGACGATAATCTATTCCCTCATCGCGAATCCTACACTACATATGACTTCGGAGAGCCAAAAGACATTGAATGGCTTGTCGAGGAAATTATGGCTCATCGATGGAATAAAAATGCGCTACAGCTACTTGTACGATGGCAAATAGGAGAGGCTACATGGGAGCCATTATCCTCTTGCAAGGAACTCGAGGCACTAGATCATTATTTGGAGCTGCAGGGCGTCAAACGGCCCGAGGAGTTACCCCGGAAAGGTGCCGGCGAAAGGTGCTCACGTCGCTGACTAATGAGCGCCTACTCGCCAGCGCTACTCGGCAACTCCCGCCAGCGCACGAACAATAGCGTGGCGGGATACGAAGCGGAGTTCAAAGTCACTTGAACTCGAATGCTGACCTTCTGCTTGCTACTCAACATCTTGCTGTCACGCCGTAACCCTATGCCCGCCGCTATCGTCAACCGAGGCGCCAACCTCCCAACTACCTTGGAGGCTTGCCATCAGCGCATCGCTCAGCTCGAGGAGACCAATTATATTCAGTTCGTCACGCTTGAAAACACGCGCGGCGACCTTGAAGAGACTCGTCACTCGATCCACCTATGCCGGCGCCGCTATCAGTACAATACCCAGCACCAAGATATTCAGTGCTGCGAGGAGGGACACGAATCGAATAGCGGCCCCCGCAGGAACTCAGGAGGGAAGAGGTTTCGCAAGCCCGACGGGGGATTCAACGAGCCCGAGCATCTGCCCAAACGTACGTCCTCATCCCTTCGACCTTCGGACGCAAGGGACGACCGTGACAGGCGGCCAGTCTCCAACCCGCCGGAGGATCGACGACTTTGGACGCCGGGACGACAGGAGTCTTCTGCGCCTGAGCAACGCTCCGCTGATAAGCCTCAGGATCGTCTGACCCCCGAAAACGCGGACTCAGCGCATCGTACAAGCCCTCCGGGGCTTATTCAACACAGCGCTCACACACCTCTAGGCTTCTATGGGCTCTAAAGACTTGCTCTGTTTTAGCTCCGGACTTCCTAGCATCCTCGAGGCGTACACGGACCCACTCCGCGATTTATCTCCGCGAACAGGAGCTCCGGAGTGACTTAACCAATGCGACTTCTAGATGAATTAGCTCCGGGGCCGCGGGCACTTCTATCAAGGGGCATCATCCTCATGCCCACCCTCCAGCACTCACTAGTCTGGAACCACACCGGCAAGAGGCGAAGTCGATGATCGACCTTTAACTCCTTCTCATTCTGGGGTAAGTCTGCATACTCCAGAATTTCCTCCGGTCGCTCCAGATCGCTGACATCTGCATTCGCAAATATTGCTAAGTTTCCTGGTGCCTTCAGATATGGGACTGGATTAATGAAGTGGAGGAAACCATGCAGACGGTCTATCCATCA